CACAGCACAGCACAGGGTAAGAGAGAAAATTTACAGTGACACCAAAACCCAGTGCTAGAAGGAACAGGAAGGTAGCACTTGTATGCAGAATCTCACTATAGAAATATTCTCTGCATGCAACAGAGAAGGGAAGGAGATGGCAGGAATGTCACAGGTAACTACTGTAAAGCCTGATGAACAATGCCCTGCCAAGGTATGGTGAGATGGCTGAAGAACTGTGGAGCATTTACACAGAACCTGAAATTTGCTCTGTGTATTAACAAATATCAACTCACCTGTCATAGATGGTGCCAGTTTTCTTTGCCCTTTCTGGTCCACAGTACCTTCATAAGCTACAGTCACATCATAGACTGCATCCAGATAGTCTTTCATTGTGTCAATGGCTACATGAGTTGCTTTCACGCGTGGTGTCAGCACGTGCTTTAGTATAGCAAGTCCTAGACAGGGAAAAAAATAAATTACAGTGTTTGAAAGTAAACTAGACTACACTCACAAGAAGAGTATCATGCAGAGGAACTTCAGCACCCCTCCCCTCAAAATCATAAAATGTTTCTTTTTAATCTCAATTCTCAGTTGACAGAGGGTGTGTGCACACTGCATATGCTCTGCTAAACACATGCAGAAGATGAAACTGCAACCCTGAAGGATACTAAAGACAAAACGTCTGCTCAATGCAAGATTCCTTTTCACAGCTCCGTTTTACACTTAGAAGTGTTGTTGGTTTTAATGTGGCTCATAAGCAATGAAGCAGCATTTCTCTTTTCTGTTTATATTTGTCCCACTGAGGTAAAAGAAGAAATTAAAAAAGGGGGGGGGAAATGAACTGAGAAATACTAAATCCACAGGATATCACCTGGTAGGTGATCTGGTAGGTGAGCCATAAGGACAGATATTAAACACACCTAATGGTCATTACTTCCAAAGGACAAACAAATTTGTCAACATACTGAACCCTAATACTGCCCCATGTTGACAAAAAGTGGTTGCCTTGAACTACATATGCTTTAAACAGGATGCTACATTTCTCCAAAGCTACGATGCCACCAGACATTTAAATAGGTTATATTTTCTACTACAGATTCTATCTTTCCCTGCTTTTGCTTTTTCCTCCTAATGAGATATCCAGGCCAAAACAGAGATTGGTAAGTCAAATACACAACAACATAAAGTTAAGAGAAGCACTTCATATCCATGTTTGCTTCAGCTGAACACCTCTACCCTAGAGCATATTTAAAAACATAAAAATACACTGGGCTCAAACTTCAGTCCATTTCCCGAATTTTTCATACACAATGACTTTCAAAATAAGAACAACAAAGAAAAACCAAAAAGCTCAAAGCTTTCATGACCTAAACATAGCATTTTTTCTCTTACTTGAAAAGTGCTTCTAGGAAAAAAAAGCATATTACATACATTTTTTCACTATTTTGCTAGAAAATGTGTTTCTTTCTCAGAATAAAATTGCAGCTATTCCTTTCTAGCCTTATTTTTCATTGGCTTACTCTTCAGTACTTTTTAAAGTAACCATCCATTGCTGCTATTGGTTCCTGATAGATTAAGCATAAATTTTTCTAAACCAAAATATCACTGTATTGCTTTTGATATCTAGTTACAAAAGTAATTCAAAAGATATTGTATTATGTCCTGATTTTGCTTTGAACTTGTTGGGGAAAGCATAATTTGATCTAAAATTATGAAAATATCAGCTGAACCCTGTAAGATAATGTTTTTTTCTAAACTGCTCTAACCTTCTTACAATATAAAATTTCAGTAGAAATAATTATATTTATTTCTTAATATTTGCTAAGAATCTCCTTGTCTGAACACAGAAATAAAAGGTTATTTACTAGGACTGCTGAAGTCATTGTTCTCAGATGTACTGGCAATAGTGATAATTGTGAATGCAAAATATTATATGGATAATACAAATATTTTGAAGCATAACATGATGGTAGTGTTTTCTTAGCTTGTGAACTGCTACATCAAACAGCTAACTATGTTATGTTTCCAAATGTTTACTCTGCAAATGAAGCACTGAATATTATAGTGTTGTATCAGCAATGACATTACTATAGACATTCCACTCAACACAACTCTTCTTGATCCAAATTCCCAAATATATTCTAAAAACACTGTCATTCCTTTCTGGCCCAACTCATCTTTCCCTTAACAAAACTATTATTGTGGGGAAGAAAAGGAAAAAACAGGCTTCAGTGATAACTAAATACTCTAGACAAAATAATTTAGTTCTCTAAGACTATTTGGTGCTCAGTTTATTGAATCCATGAACATTTTGGTGAAGAAGATGTGCAGTGACAATCTGTGAGGTGCAACTGTAGAATAAGTCCCTCCTACTGCATGTGATACCAGTGAACTCTTGAAGGTTTAAGCACAAAATGAGTATGCCTCTAATTAAAATAAATTAAGAAACCCCATAATCCATTATTCAGAAACACTCTAATGTATGACAAACATGCAGCAACAACAGTTGCACATCCTTTTAGAGAATCTGTTTTATAAAAAACATTAACCACACATTCTTGCAATTACTTGATGCTCTTTGCTAAAATCAACATAACAGAATTTAAACCCAAGTAGTTACAGTGTAGTTACCTTGGCAAGCTGCCTGCATCCAATTCACAAAACACAGTGTTTAAACTGTTTTTAATGTTGTGCAATATTAAGTTAGAACTCTCTGTCAAAGTATTTAAGGTCATGAGATTTTATTTTAAATGCCAAAGAAAATGAACTAGTTGTTTAATATGTAATATTCTACCTCAAAATGTGATAGCTTTGCTCTTTTAAGTTGGCTAACATTTAAATGATAAACAGACGTTAGAAAAAATGAAAATAATGTGAAAATCTGAAGAAATTTGGTGACCAATGGTACTATCCGTTTACTAGACTGCAGTAAGATGCAAATTACTTCAGAAAGTCTGGAAGAAAATAGAACTAAATAAACTAAGGTTTTAGTTCAGGAAGTTCAAAGGCCCAAATCATTAATGTCTATTAGAATTGAACTTTTCATCTAAACACAAAAGAACAAAAAAAACACCAACCAAAACATAATTTATCTAATCTCTAAGAGTGAAGTCACATACATGTAATAACTGAGCACCACTCTATGGACAAGCTCTCTACCACTCTTCCCTTCATCCAGGCCAAAAACTCACAGTGCTGTTCGGTGCAGGCAGGCCACCTACATTTTCAGATTTGGACTCCATTAGCTGTATTTGTATTCCTGACATGCACACACCACATTGTTGAATGAAAACAATAAAAACAAGCTCTACATTATAACACTCTATGTGTATTACACCTGTATTACCTCATTCATCAACAAAAGTTATATGGTCACTGAGAGTGGATGTCAAAATTAGTTTCAGGTTACATCCCCCTATAAAACCACGTTACTTGATAGTAATATAAAAACTGAAAGCAGAGTGGAAAACAATTGATTTAAATACCAATTATATCTACCTTTCCTTATTTTTCCTTTTTTGTGTGTATGTGTGTGCAGGAGTGATATTAGACTGAAAGGTTTGCAGTCCCAAGCAGTGTTTCCATCAGCTTTCAGGAATGTTTTTTTTTTCAAAGCCTTCCTTATTGAATCTAGAGACCAGAGTTAGACTTATAAAATGACATATGGTGGGAGAGCTCATCCGTTTGTGCACTAGTATTCCATCAACTTACACAAATAGGACTCAGCTGATGACAGTATTAAAAACTTACATGCTCCTGAAAAAATGTTTTCAGTTACCATGAACTGAATGAAGCACAAGAAATGCAAGGAATCCCCTCAAGAATAGTAAGTAGTAGCTTCTTGCTTTCCCATACTTCATTTCCTAAGGATGCCTTTCAGTAACAGAAATCCTTTCCTCATCCTAATAGTATGTTTCTCAAACACTACTTAGGGTCCTCCTCCCATTCTTTTTAAAAACTAAATTCTTATATCTCACTGTGAACTTCTACATCATTTACTTATGTGAAAGTGTGTGTGGGGAAAAAAAAAAGTCACCAAAAGTGATTTTATTTAGAGACACTTCCAAATAACATTTATGGATATTAAATACTTCAGATTTGTTTAAAATACAATCTAAAACCAATGCCAAGGTCTAGAAGGGAAACATTTTCCATTAGCTCAGTTGAAATACCTCTTTTTTACATGACCTGTAAAAGCCATTTTGAGATAAGCATATCCTGCATGCACAAACATCTTAGCACAAAGCATGATAGCAGTCAAGATAAACTTAGCATTAAAAAACATTTACAACTTTTCTGCATAAAAACAAGGGAGATGATAAATGAATACCTGAAATGTTTGCTTGATTAAATGACCTTCGTTAGAAATTAAACATCATAAAAAATTCCATAAATGCCTTTCACCAGGGAAGATTGTTTTGTCTTCATTCAGCAAAAGCAAGGCAAGTTAAATTTAGCAAGCATCTTACCCCTTTCTGTTTGACTTTGTAAAGCTAGCAACATTAGGAGTAGGAGGATTTTGGATTATCCCTATTTAATTTTTAATTTTAAAAATTACACCTGAGAAATTTGTGGTTGTCTGGACCATTACAGAGGTCTGACTACTAGAAAATTATAAGAAATCTACACACATATATTTTGAAAACATAAAAATGGAACAAATTTTACACCAGAAGTTGGTAAAAAAAAAAATATAAAAAAATTTAGTTTGTGGATTTTATAGAAATTTTATTCTGTAGTCCAGTACCATTAAAAAGACCAAGCCTTTAAAGATTTACAGTGTGAAATAAATGCATAACATAAAAATTACCACTTCTAACATTTTTACAAGATTGGAGTCCAAACTCTATGAAAATATGAGAGCCATCTACGTATTAGAACTCCCTGGACTCAGCAACTCAAGCCCACTGACTCATGAGGAAGAATTGCTGCACTTTTAAGATGACTAAGCCAATAGAATGGAGTCTAAAAGGGGTCACCAGTGTGTAAATCTACTGAAAGAATGCATTATATTTTGTAGATGAGAATCACCTTAGTCAACAATTCCCATCCTATGGAAATCCAAACTGAACTCTAAGCTAAGAATGTGAATCCTGGCTAAGAATGTGATCCGATTGGAATTTTCTACCACTTGTAAACATAGAATAAAAAAATCTTCACATTCTGAGGGCACTAACATTCCCTATAGATGCCAACGTTCTCAGTTCATCAGCATAAAAGCAGTGTTCCTGGAAGTAAGTAACCTTCTGTATCTCATTGAATACAATTGTGGACAGAATTTACAATAGAGTTTAAATTAATGAGAACAGAGTTGTGCTGTGTCAAATCTATCAATACTGAAGGCTGATATATATATGTAAGGTTCCAACATGAAATCCATTAATATTAAATGACCTTATTTTATCAATTTTACCTCTAGATGCTTATGGCATTCTTAGGTTTTACATACCCAAAACTTGGCAGTACATTCAACTTGAACTTGGCAAGGCAGTTAATGACAAATTCCAAAGACCAGTCCATGGATTTAATTTTTACTGTATAATATCCTTTATTTCTTTCTAAAAATAGTGAGTACAGTCTCACTCCTTCCCTAGAAGTTTCTCTGTGCTTTATAGCCTTCAGTCTTAACTTACTTGTATCCAGATCTACTGCATTTACTCTGTGTGTTTGATTTGCCTGTATTTCAGAAAGAGGAAAATCATTTGCTCTTGCTAGGAGTCAAGATTTTGTGTAGAACCTAAGTTCTATTTTTAAAAATTGTCTGTCTCAAAGGGTGACCTGAATCACCTTTAAATTATTTTGCTTTTTGATAGCCTTCTATCCTATTCATAGACAGACAGGATTTATTTATATATTCATATCAATCAGGAAATACATAATGTAAAAATATTCCTTTGTATGTTAACTGATGACTTTTTTTTTTTTTTTAATAATTTAAATTATTTTAAACATAATTTATTTAAATATTTGGTCCAAAACTGGTCTCTTCTTAAAAAGAACATCAAGATATGAGATGTAAATCATCAGCTGGTCACACAAAGATCAGGTGATTAAGTTCAGCCCAATAACTATGTTTAGACTGATGAACCTTCCTAGAGGAGAATCCAGCCCCATGGTGAATAAAAGTGAGCACAAACCCCACAAAACCTCTTTGTATTTCCTCTCTGCAAAACTACTAAAACAGATACATACACCCATTATCAAAAACAGCATTTCAGACAGCATGATAAACATGAGTTCTGCATGTACTAGAAGAATATCTCTGTTATCTTCGGTTACAATACCCTTGGTCTTAACATCAGTTTAAAATTTAATTCTTTGTAATTAAACTAGTTTTTCAAATATTACACTTGTACTAAAGTTGTCAAAAATGTAGGAAAAAAAAATTATAAAGCTTACATTTCAAGGTATAAAACAAACAAAAAATTCCCCTACGTGTCCCTGAAGTCAACACTGAAGCACTGTGCTCTGTAAAAAATACACTAAGACAAAAAGACCAGATTATCCGACTTCTTTACATCCCCACGAGGAATGAAGTGCAAATTTTAAACTAGAAGTTACATCCTCATTCCTCTGACTGGCAGAACTACTGGGCTTCACTACCTTTCCTGAAATCGCAGGAAATAAGAAGCCTTTGGGATCTTGTAGACAAGCACACAATTGTGTGTTTTTAGTTCAGCTGGACAGTGTCGCAGAACAGCCCTGGCAGGCTCCAGAGGAGCGGGGCCAGTGCTCACCCTCCCTGTGACCGCCTGGCCAGGCCCCTGGTCACGGCTCCCAGCCCCAGCCAGGACGGCGGTGGCACTGGGGCTGGAAGCCACAAGCTGGGGCCAGCCGTGCTGCACAGCAGTGTGGCAGGACCCTGGAGAGTCACTGTCATCTCCTGCCAGTGGCCATGTGGAGTCCCCTGTCCTCCCAGCTCCTGGATGTAAGTGCCTCTTGGCTCTCAGCCAGCAGAACGTTTTGGTGGGCAGCAGTCAGTGTCAGCCACCCTGCTCCTCGGCATGCCTGTGGGAGGGATGCTCTAGTTCAAGCAAGCGTCACTCTTTGCACGAATGTGCAGGGGAGTGGGGTCCCATGCAGACTGCTTCCCACTCTCTCCATATAAAAAGTTGAGGAAAGGCCAATAACAAAAGAGTGTCGCAACAGGGAAAAACAGATCAACAAGATTCTGCACTAGAATAGGAGATGCTTCGGTGGCACTGGGGCTGAAAGCCACAAGCTGGGGCCAGCCGTGCTGCACAGCAGTGTGGCAGGACCCTGGAGAGTCACTGTCATCTCCTGCCAGTGGCCATGTGGAGTCCCCTGTCCTCCCAGCTCCTGGATGTAAGTGCCTCTTGGCTCTCAGCCAGCAGAACGTTTTGGTGGGCAGCAGTCAGTGTCAGCCACCCTGCTCCTCGGCATGCCTGTGGGAGGGATGCTCTAGTTCAAGCAAGCGTCACTCTTTGCACGAATGTGCAGGGGAGTGGGGTCCCATGCAGACTGCTTCCCACTCTCTCCATATAAAAAGTTGAGGAAAGGCCAATAACAAAAGAGTGTCGCAACAGGGAAAAACAGATCAACAAGATTCTGCACTAGAATAGGAGATGCTTCCTGTTTAACAAATATTTGGTCTTGTGAGTATTTAAAAGGAGTATGTAACCCTTACAAAATAAAAGCAGACCAATACTGGAGAGAAAAGCACCAGAAGAAATTAGCAGGTGCTCTGATAACACAAAAGCAGTTTTTTACTATTCTGCAGACTGTAGAGATGTCATTAAGAAGCTTATTAAAATAATAAGAGCCTTTCTTTTCCTCTGAAAAAAGAGAAGAGATAAAAAAACAAATCCTATCAAACACTCCCTCTAAACACTCAAAGAACTGCCAATCTAAATGAAATATTTGACTTTCATTTCCGACAGGAAACTTAAGCCATGAATAAATACATTATGACTTAAGGTCTCCTGCTCATACACGCAAACAAATTCTATTCTTCGCAACAAGAAGAAAAGCATGTATCCTTTTGGACAACAGCTAACAATACTTAATAGCTTGATGGTATCAACAGGCTGATTCACAGACTTGTGAATTCATTTCAGTGTGTCACAGAAATGAATTTACCAGACCTATTTGTTACTCTTTGTTTACTTTCAGAGTGAATTATTTTACTTTCGGTCAACAGGAAAAAACAAAAGCAGGAAACGTGTTCATCGAACTGTTAGACCTAAAAGTTTACGTGTATTGTGCACCTGATGAGAAAAATGAAAAAGCTTGGGACCCCTAGATGTTTTGCAAGCCTTTCCAAAGATGAAGTACTTTCATCTGTGGTTACAGAGATGACACCGACAATCAAAGTCTCTATGGAATAAAGTTTAACTAAGTAAGAGTGAGACTGGAAAGTGAACGAGGAACAAAATCAAAAAGCCATGGTAGCACTAATAGTAATTAAAAATCAAGTGATGGAAGACTTTTAAGGCATAACAACCTCTATGTAAAGTATTTTTTATATCAAGTAACAACTGTAATAGGAGTTATAAAGCCATTTTACATATAAGAATGCCCAGACCCAGTGCAGGGAATTCTTATGTCCCTGAAGGAGAAAGAAAAGTGTCCATAAATACACAGACAGAAACTAAAGAGAGATTTATTGAGAATTAATACTCTTCCATCGTGTGCAATGCATTAAATGTCTGTATATAAGTTATTCTTATTTTCACTCTGTGGTAAGATAAGCACAGGCTTATGCTGTTCTAACCCTTATGTATTAATCATGCAGGCTTAATAGTTCAGTTAAGGAGAGATCATCTTCATACCGTATAACAATTTCATACAACGTAGGTTAACACTGTAACAAAAGAATGATTTTGAAACTTTTTTGCTTACCTTCCTTTTCAGCAAATGATTGACTATCTGCAATGACTTTTGGTATTTCTGGATTGTAACGAGTCCCCTCTGGAAAAATAACTAAATACATCTGTGGGATTAAAAAGAAACAAAACAGGCAAATTCATATAATGAATGTAAGCCAATTCCTTTTACAGAAATTGTCATCACTTGATACATCCATACTGTATTTATTTCAAACCATCAATTACTGTAAGGATTCAAAGAAAATTAGAATACTTGAGCTAAAATTTCTTAGCACTAAGAAACTTACTGTTCGATGTCCAAAAAAATTTTATTTGAATGGATACCATAGGAAGTTGCCCAGATGATTTAGGAAGGGAGATGGCACACACACATCAACAAAACTGAGCAAGTCAGGACCAGCTGATATCAATAAGACCATTGGTTTTGCCACATAGAATAAGAGGAGATTTTGAAAAGACAGGAAAATGTCACAGTTGATCTAAATTCCATTTTTTACTTTAATACTGATCTTGCACAAGCCTTTCCTTGTACTGAAATATACATTTAATTTCATTCATAATCAGAAATACTATTAATTGAAATTATGATAGATCAGCTACTTTATGTGCTTTTATGTATCTCACTGTATTAGATATTAAATATATTATGAACTTAAACTCATAGGTTAGCGTCATTTGAACTTTATAGTCACACTCCTCTAAGCACGCGTGTCTTCAAGGTTAGATTTTCCCGTGTAAATGAGGTTGCTTGCATATTCAGTAACAACTGTGTCTGACTTCTTGTTATATAGGTAAAAATTACCTAAGTATCTGCCTATCTGAGTGTGAAATTATACACCCAAATAAAAGCAGTCAAATTTGATTAATTTTCCATTTGCTTTTGAAACAGAGGTTTCCATCTCTCTTTTACCTGTGTCTTGCATAATCCCCTACACACAGAGTTGATGCAAAACATCACTTAAGCAGTGAAAATTTCGCATGGGAGGGTTAATCTGCAGAGGAAAAGGCTACAGCCACAAACGGTAACTAGTGTGGAGTTGCACATGATACATTTGCAGTAATATCCTGCCTACTGTGCCTAGACTCACAATTCGTTATCTTTGCAGAAAGGAATCTGAAGAAATATTTGAAAGAAAACGAGATAAAGGATTTACAGAACAGTGCAAGGAGGATTACCAGTGAGTACAGGAAGACACTGGCAAGTGGGAGTGCACATCATGAAAAGAGTCAAAGTTAAATAAAAACTGAGAAAGAGACACAGGAATATAACTTGTGCTTTTGACCCTCAAAACATCAGCGTGCTGGTATTTGCACATGATTGCAGAACAGCTCAAGAAAATGCAGAAAGACAGGTCTCAGCAAGAAAACTCTTCTCCAGAATCACTCCACGGTGATCAAGGTTGAAAGATGTGCTGAAATGCAAAGGATGGAAGAAATTTAGGAACTGTGCCAACCAGTGAAGGCAGAAGGAGCTCAAGAAAGAGAAGTTAGTATGTACCATAGAAGCTAGCATGGAAAAAAAAAAAAAAGAAAATAACCAAGAATGGCAAAAACTGTGTGAGTAGAGTGGAGTAAAGAGAGCTAGAGCAAAGGCTGAATGCTCAGCTCTAAAGGGTAATATAGTGGCTGTAACAGGCAATAACTGAGAGCAAAGCAAGTGAAGCACGAAGTACAGGAATACCTTTCTTGGTACTGAGATCAGCACTTAAAAGCATTCAGTAACATTATCAGTCTTCAGAGCAGATAATCAGCTACTAAAAGCTGATTATAAAACAGAGAATAGTATCTACTTACTCCAATCTTATGTGTGCAATAGAAAGCAGGGGCTGAAATTATACTTTAATTATTCTTGTAAACCTCTACAACATAAGCAGCCAAACAGGTTTGTTGACCAAAATCTGAATCTATCTGAATCGAAAGCATATCAGTAAGACAAAGAAGTGGCTTTTGCTTTTCAGCTGTAAATTCAGCATGTATGAACTTAGTACGGAGCTCGACTACTCTACCCAAGTGAAATTAATGAATGTAAATAGATGTCCTACTTCTACTCATGTACAGTCCTGTACAAGACAAAGAAGTTCTGACACTGCAATTCAGCCTACCAAATCAACTTGTATGACTGGCTTTTCTCTTCTCCCACCACAGGCAGTAGAAGCTAAATCCTTAAGCACGTTTTCCAAAGATTATAAGAAATACAAATCTCTAAGATGTTAATAACTGAATAAGCTCCCCTGAACTTGGATTAAGAATTGTTTTAATTGCTTCGAACACTAGGTGCAGCTGAAGAATTTTTTCATACAGCATTTTTCCTTTAGGGCAATTAGCTACACACTTCATCACAGTGACTGCAAAATACAGGGCTTCAAAATGACATAGAAAATTCCATGTTACCACAGTCCCTGATTCACTGATACACCAACTTTAATCAAACCAGAGTATGTCCCTATTTTTAGATATGTGGTATTTTCTTGCCTGTTTCTGTGTAATGGGTGGGTGACAATATACCTGCTGTCTCTCATCAATTTTAAAGCTTCAAGGAGCGGATCAGGATTCATTTAGTAGAATCCTATTGACTGTTGCTGGAGCCAGAAAACAGGCAGGGACTACCTGCAGAGTCCCCAGCGTAATGTCAGTGGACTTGTCACAATCCACAAATGAAATGAATGGATGATTAACTGTTTTCACCCAAGTATCAACTCTGCTCATCTCCTCAGTGCTGTCAATGTCTCCCAGGCAAAAAGAAATAGCAAGAGCACTGAGAGGGGCCATGCTTACGGAGGGGAGAGTAGGGCAGAGGAGAAAGTCCTTGAGGTAAATCAGAGTATCAGAAAAGAAGCAGGTACAGGTGGAGCAGTGGAAAGGGGCACAAGGCAACACGAGTCCCTTGAGTACAGAACAAAGCTAGTCCAGATACCATAAACATAAACATAGAGCAAGAAGACATGATAAAACCTGATTGAGGACAGGGCTCTGGATAGTGTCCCAGAGACAGTAGCTGTAACTAGAAGAACACTGGGTGTCAGGATGTGGGAACTACTGGCTAAAAATATCTTGCATTTACTGTGATGTTCCTGCGTGGGTGCAATTAGATATTTTTATTTTCAAAGTTCAAAATCATATTAAGCAATGCATTTGCTTAGCTTTACTATTATTTTCATTATCACATCCTGAAAATTAGACAGATTCACATCCGCATCCATTTAGACCACTGCCTAAATGATATGCTTCTGGTGAACTGCATAAGAAACATCAGTGCTCAGATCAATAACTAGAAAATGAGACAGTATGAGAAAGCATACCTGGTATAATTTGGAACAAAATACAAAAGGTGACGTGAGGAAAGCAGGAAAGGACAACTGGGATTTACAAAGAAGTTGTCAGGGATTTTGTAAATTATTAACTATATGACAAAATAACTACAGTAAGTGTTATACCAGTTTTATTCATGTATTTGCTGCCTCCATCTACTGTTTGATTGGCACCGCTTCACATGACAGATTTATTCAGTGACTGAATGAATGACAAAAACAAAACACACAGTAACCAGCTAAATGTTGGATGTACAGGGTTAAACCCCCACATCTCAGAATGCAGATTTTCTATTCTTGATGCATGATAGAAAGAAATGTAAGTTACATTTTCAGTTATTAAACTGAACAGTTTGCTGTTCACAGGAGTTAACTTTCTTCCTAACACAAGCAGACAGAGCAAACCAAGTGCCGGCTACATATATTGTTACACTGAGAAACGCCTTTATCTTGTTACGGCTTACATTAAAATCAACATTCACACAAAAGTGTCCTTGAAATCCTGTGATAGCCTCTGCTCTCACAAGACCCAAGATTGCAATTCGTTAACAATGACCCAGATTTTATGGATTTTTAAAACAGAATAATATAATTTCATGAGAGTTTTGTCAACAAGAGGCCCAATGACGAACCATTTGAGTGTATGATTTAATGACAGTTTGAGAAGCAAACTAATTTCCAGAAATAAATAAGAATATTTATTATTTCAAGATCTCCACTAAGAAAACAGAAGAGAAACAGCATTTCAGGCTAGCATCAGTTGTATGTGTCTAATACTGCTGTGCTGCACCCGGGAAGACAGATAGACCAACTGCAACAAGCAGGGCAGGGAAAGGGGCTGTTTGAGGCAGGTAGGTGAAAGTCATAAGACAAGGTGAGCAAGGAGCATCATGCAGTCTACTATCCCTACACAAAATTAAGCATACCACATCACTAATCCAGTTCTACACTAAACATAAGAAGTGAAGAGGCAGTCTTATTTTTCCTGTTCATGTTCCACCACCAATTTACTTTTCATTAAACAAACAAGAAAAAGAACCACCACATGACATGAGGCAGTAAAACGACTAACAGCCTTGCTACTCTAATGAGAACAGAAGACTGGTTCTGCCTTCCTACACGTCTTCAGTTTCTTAATGGGAACAGGGATGGCTCCAGACAGACTGAACATTAATCATTTGGATTCTTTTGTTTAAACTGTATATGAAGAGAAATTGTAAATAGCGAAGTGACCCTTAACATGGATTCCTATCCATCTCCTCTCTATTGGCATATAATTCTTTCCTTAGCAGCTGAAAAATAAGCTTTTCTCTAACAATACATTAAAGAAAGATCTCCACCAACTCTGTGCAGAATGACCAAGCAACAACATCTGCTCAACAAATTAAGGAAAAGTCCACTCTGAGCTGGACCATCCAGTGTGTAAAGATTAATAAAATTTCAAGAGTAGCAACTTATTTTCTCATGAAGCTGATGAGTTTGGTGCGTACATGCTTTACTTTTTTTTAAAAGCATTATGGCTGCTTGTGAATGTCATGCTAAGTTACAGAACTGCAAAGTTTCTTCATAAGTAATGCAGCAAGCACAGAGGTTACAATTTTCTTCTCCCAGTAGCAATTGCAGGTTAAAGGGCATGTACAGCATCTACATTTAAGTTCTCAGATAAAGTAGATTACAGAAAATGTAGTCTTCCTTCAAATGACAACTCAATGGCCTGTGTCTTTTACCCCAGCAGATGCAAATGTATGTCTCAGTAAATAGGCTTTTGACAGCTTCAGTTTTCCAAAACCTGTCATTCCCTATATGGTTTGACTGAAACAGATTTAAAACAGAACGCATTTCTGTAGCAGTTGCACTTATTTCTCTTCTATACTGCTACCCTAGGCTATGGTATCACAGAAGCCCACTGAACTTCTAGACAGCCAAATTATACCAAAAACCAAATAAATCTAAGTGGTCCCAAAAATTCATTTGGCAATAGCTTAGATAGGTTAGGTATACGTTTTTTCAATCCACATACAACTAAGAAAAGAGGAAGATGAGTCCAGAAAAAAAAAAAAAAAAGCCTTCTGCATTTATTAATCACATGCAGACACCCACCCTAGAAAGCAGAACCCTCAGCAGATGTAGCTTTAAAGAAAAGCTTTATGCTTAAACCTCCCTGTACATTGCAATTGGGCTAAAATCACACATGAGCCTGTCCAGTCAATTTATAGCACTGCTGAAACACTGAACATCATTTGAAAGGTTCCAAAGACATGCAGAATTGGATGAGTTTCTAGGCATATCTTCTTAAGATTGCATTTTTAAAATTCCATGTTTCCATAAAGCAGACTCATTTACTGTACAACTCAAATCAAGACTCTCATCACAATCAAACCTTATTATTACAACAACCCCCTCCATTTTAGGGGATGCCGAGGGAAGCCAGAAAGCCAGACTCAACCAGAAGTACCTCATTGTCTAGCAGGAAATCCATGGGCCTGTGCAGGAAAACACCCTGCTAGGATACTTCATCCAGCTTAACTAAAGCAAACTTAGACCAACGTTCTGCAGGGGGAGCAACTGTTTAGGAGGCTGACTACAGACACGTTTCATACATCCTGCCATTTGACTTTGCTTATTCCATTACAGTGCAAATTTTATAGAAAGTAGAATCTTTGCAAATAACATAAAGAAAATAACCTGATGCAATTCAACCTCTTCACATCCCCAGGATCCTCTCTGGTAATGTAGGCACAAATTACCACTACTGAATATGATTATCTTCTCCATGTGGACATCATTAGATTAGACATTGGACAGCAGAAGCTTAGTTGCTGTCATATATTTCTGGCCTTTGTAATTTATATGCTAAAAACCGAAAATAGATCTCCTTTCTTATCTTAACTAAAAAAACTAACCCTGTTCATACTGAAACTTAGTTCAAGACAAAATAAGTTTGAGCACTGCCTTAAGCAGGGACTCTTTATTCATTTAAGCCTCTCAGTAAGCGTAAGGTCATTTTGCTTCTTCAGCACTGAGACATGCACAAACTTAAACACACTGTCTCCAAAAACTGAAAGAAAAATAAACCCCAAGACTATTATGAAGGTCAAAACAATGTATGCATTCCTTTTACCCAAGCCCCAGCTTATAAAAGGTTTGCCACTTAGTATTTGGAGTGGCAAGTCCTAATCACATCATTTTAAATAAAACGAAAGCACATAACTGTTCTATATCAAGGCTTGCTGAGTTGGTTTTCTTAAGTATAGCCAAAAAGGCAGAAAATATTTTAATGCACATTAAGTAATGGAAGTGAAGTACAGTGATTCTAACCACTGAGCCACAAACCATACAGGGAGTCATGAGAAAAGTCACTTGGCACTAACAATCGTTCTTCAAATAGAAAATTATCAAGAGTTTAGGTTTGGGGTTTTTTTTCTGTTTGGTTTTGGCTTTTTTTGTTTAGGTTGATTTTTTTCCCCTCTACTCAGTTCTAAGATGTCACTGCCATTAAAAATGATTGACCATTGGGATGACTAATTAAGATTTGGTAAGAATGGTTCTTGACTTTCAGAGATCAAACAACTGGTATTCTACAAATATACCAGTCTCTGACAAGCATACAGCAGTCATAGTATTGTCTCCTGAAACACAGATGATTTCTCAATGAAGGTACTACTGCTCATGTTCTAAAACTTAATCCAGATCCTCCATGCCCTCTACAGACAGAACCATGAAGTTCATATGATTCATAAAGGACTAGTCAAATTTTCGTAGGTTTAATTAGCGGTACTGTTCTAATCACAGAAACTAACTGTTTAAATGCAGAAAGAAAATAAATCCATTTCTCCAGTCTTGTAGTTTGTAGATACCAGGTATGCCTCATTCATCCAGTAAGTCTTTGTCATTAAAAAAAAATCAAACAAATGAGGAAAATGGGGGAAAGAAAAGTAAAATCTTACCGGAGTATCAGCTTTCACCTGGGCTCGCAACTTCTCTCTCATTTCTTTTTCATTGAATTTGGCACTTCTTTTTACATAGACTCCTCCATGCTAGCAGAGAAAAAAAATTTAAAAATTATTAAATATTTAAGTAGTTTAATGTAGAATAGTTGATAGAAGAACAAACAAGATGAAAGTGACAAGTCAGCTTTATGACTCATGCTGCAAATTGACCAAAAGATGTTTTCTCCTAAGATGAAAATACATTAAACTAATTCTACATTTGCATGTACTTAGATACACAAAATCTGTTTAATAAAAGATCAGATCTAAAAAAAGACTAAAACATAAGGTTACTTGAAGTGTCTTATTTAAAGGTGTTGAATAATTAACTGGAAGATGGCATTGGAACCAATTCCAGGGACCTGTCTATTCCCAAGAAGATTGACAAGCAGCTTAGCTTGTTTATATCAAGGTAAAATCACACAACTCAAGTTAGTCACATATAACTATTTTTAGGCCAATGTATTCAATTTTATGTGCCTGCTCTTACATAGCGACTAAAGCAAATACTGGAGTTAATAGTATTACACCTCTACATAAAAAAATTAAGAATAGCAAAAAAGTAACTAGCATAGGTCTTGAAAACTTCCATGCACTTTATTAGGGAATCAAACTTTTAATACAACCGAATTACACCAAGTCTTTAGAAGGCAAGCAATTTTATAAAAGTATTTTAACTGAAAACCATTATAAAAAGTTAAACCATTCCTGGAAAAGATAAATTTTATAATTTGATCCACACAATTGATCACAAAATCTTCAGTTAAAGGACTATAGCACACAAAGAATGAGCATTACAAACAAACAGAATTTGCCTCATCATTTCCCTCTTCTATCACTTTTTTCTATCTACAGTGTAGTTAACAAGCAGATGTAAAAAACATGATCCAAAATGAATGACTGACATAACGAATTCTGAAAATAATTTTTTTTTTAAAGTAGCTTCCAAATAAAACTTTTTTTTAAAGGTAGATTGTTTTCATGGGTTTTTTAACCGATTCCTTAACTTGATAATAATACTCTTCTCCATCTACCATGACAGCTGGTTTTATGATTTTTCAGATAATTTCTGTCCATTTAGGGTTTTACATGCTCTTAATTGAAAGGTGACAGTAAGATTAAAAGTACTAAGAGTTGAACCTCATTCAACTGTCTTATCTCAGGAAAAGGTAGAGTATATTATAGAAACAGGCATGGCAAGGTGTGTGCAGGCTATTATTTTATTTGCATGGCATGGACAGGAATAAAGTTTGAGGAGGCAGGAGGAGGTGGGCAGAAGAGACAGTTATGCGAAGTGTTTTCGGTCTCTGCTTTTCATGGTGTAGAGAGATGGCCATGCAGCTACTTAGCCAGGGGTATTTAACATGACTTTTAAGCTGGCCTTTAGCAGGCTGAAGCATTATTATCAGCCCCATCCCACGAGTAGTACACCTGTCTCGGATAGATAATGGCATGAACAGAAAAATGTTCCATCAGCTGTGCAGCAAACAGAGACACACTCCACATGTAAGGAAGTTTTTAAGATATGACACCGCTAAGGCGAAGTAAAAGTGTTATTCTGTACAGTGACACTCATCACAACAATGACTTTCAGTAAGGGTAAATTCAGTTTATTGTGTGAAACAGTGCATCTACTATACAAGATTTCCATGTAATTGGAAAGTCATCATTCTGTGTGAGCTCAGCTAGGTCAAGCTGTGATAGATGAGGTAAGGCTGGAATAAAAGTTTTCCCTTATTTATCGAATTACTAACCAACTGCAGTGAACTGGGAAAACAGCAAACCACTTTATTCCTGTGTAATTTGTCAGGCTGGAAAAATCAAGTTACTGTTGTTCAGTTTGCTTAGGGACCCCACCTCAGACTTTTTAATGCTCAGAAATAGATTTGTACTTCCCAAGTAAATACATAGACAGTCACTTAAGAACAGACAAGTTGTGTATTGCAAGATTGCCATTCATTGCATATAAACCAACTACATATGTATGTCAGCTCCCCTATGACACAGGCCTACAAAGCTACTGAGAGCCAAGAAGCCACACCAGCTAAATATTTGGCTAAAATTCAGTAACATCCAAAAGGGTGCATAAGCTGATGCTGAACAACAGAAAAGACAAATACATATTTCCTATGTTAAAAAGTCAAGCAAACTCTGGGATACAAAAATTTGTTATCAAAATTACATCTCAGCCTCATCAGGTGCTATAAGATGAACAGGAGCTAGCTGCATTTTGGTGGAGAAAACATGGTAAAAAAAAAATTAAATAATTCAGATCCACCCAGAAATAATAAAACCAGTTTTATGAAAAGAAATAGCTGTACCTAATAAATCAAACTGGGAATGTAAAAGGTTAATTTAGGTGGTTCTTTTCTTTTTTTGCTATTAGCTGCCTCCAAAGAAGAATGCTAGTTATGCAACTGTATATAGCTTGAATTCCCCAATTTGTATTGCATTTCCTTTTCCGTAAGAGATCAAATATACGAATGCTTTTCAAAACAGATTTCTGGAAGTACTGTTTTTAAGGTTATAATTTTTTTTCCGCTGTACTTTAAAAGCCCCTCTCTCAGTCAACAATGGATTATGTTTACAAATATACTTCCTTTGTGCCTGAATTTCGCTCTCCTGGACATCCAGATCACATTTATTTCCAAACAGGATGTTTACCTGAGGTAGGGAATATGAATTCCATGAGCATGGCGTAATTACGTGACTCTGGAAACTTTTAGTGGAGTGTAAGTGACATCACTGACAGAACATCAACAGGAAGGGCAGGAAGTGTTTTATGTTTTTGCACTGTTTGGTGTGATAAAAACAATAAAAATACCCATTAGCTTGCAGTGCAGTCCTGCTGCATCCCGTCTTGTTCATTTGAACACTCACGCACCACCACTGCTGGCAAGCTACCTTTCATTTGTGTCACTTAATTAAGCATATTTAAAAAGATATATATTATCACCCCTCACTAAATCTTGTCGCAGCTTTTATGTTTTAAGGAATCCAAAGCTGAACAGATTCTATTTAATATATATGTTTTGACTAAAAATGTAGGCCACATTCAGATTCATTTCCACAGGAACCTTCTTTTAACAGCCAATAAAGCAGTGAGGAAACTGAGCACTAGATATTCCAGATAGCAATAGTAATTTTCCAAAATCTTGAAAAAAATCACAAAAATTTCTGGACACCTAGTGATAGTGGATGGAATATATGTCCGTATTTTAATTAAAGCAAACTTAAATCACTACCAATGTAATGACTACAGGCAAGGACAAAGCAAAATATTTCCAGGCAGCAGACCAATCACTTTAGCAGAAGAAAAATTTAGAGAATCAGTCATTAGTGGGGACAACGTTAGTCAACAGAAAAGTCCATTTTCTCCCAATGGATACTCTCAGTGAGGTACGACAGGGTGTCACAGTTCGTACTTACTTAAGATACTGGGACAGCAAACCCACTAATAAAAGGAATAAGAGAAGCATCACGTAGGAAGAGAAGAAAGGAAAAGGTAGTTACAGGAATACTGTTAGATTTGGATTTACAGTGTTTTTGCTTAACTGAAGTCCAAAGCAAAACCACCAACACTTTCATGGAGGCTTGGATCTGCTTCCTCCACATTATATGAAGGTCCAATTTTCCTCTTTTGTATTATGCTAAAACCAAACAACTGAAAAATAAGTAAGTACACCACAGCAATGTCAATTTACCCCCAATTTCTAACATGATAAAAAACTCCATAAATATAAAAAATGTCTGCTTACACTTATTCCTAAGTGGGCTTTTGAATTTTAAAAAGAACAAAGTTCTAGAAAATTCTTTAATGCTTCTAACAGACTCTACAGTTTTAATTGTAGTAATAAACACCATCCATAAAAACTATTAATTTAGAAAAGTAAACAGATTGTTTAATGACTGTCTCTTAACTAATATATACATCTAACTCTGAGTGAAATCAGCTATTTTCATGTTCAAATAAACAAGTGACAGCTCAGACCTACATCCTCCCAGCACATATGATAAAGGGAAGGAAAGTGTATCTTGCATATTTGATCTAAAAACAGCAAGGGAAAAGTGAACAGGCTTACCTGTGAAAAATACCACCCATACAGTGGCAGCCATTTTAACCCATCTTTCAAGACATACCGGACATGCCCAAGAGCATTCTGCCTAATTGCCAGCATGTCTGCAACAATCCAATCAACTGCAAAGACAAAAGCCCAAAATGTTTAGTTAAAGTAGTTTTTAATTGCCACGGATGAAATTAAAAGTGCATGTTGTACACATAAATATCATTAAAGGCTTCTGAACTAGAAGTTCTTAACTGGAAGTTCTTGCTCTTTAGGGCAAGGCTGGAAAGACACAATAAAGACATAAGCAGATTTTTTTAAATCTATAAAAGTGCTGAGACAAACAAAAAAACCACAAACCTGTACACTGATGATTTGATAAATATATAACATTTTCTTTATTTTTTGGCAAATCCCCGTAGACTATTACCTAAAAAAATAAAAAAATGTAGTATTACTTTATTGTTTTCATTGAATGAATAGCACATTGCAACGATGCAATGTACTATGCAGTAATTAGCTATTTACTAAGAATACTACCAGCAATTTAGCACCATTAACACAAAAACACCCCATCACTGTGTCAGTATCCATCAATACAATTGACTTACCAACAAAGCAGTGAATATTAATTAATTAATGAGGGCTCAGGAAAGCTATCCTGTTCCTGTGTCTCAACCCTAGAAGTGGATCCATGCAAACTGACCTACATCCACAAGATTCCTACATTAATATAATTAAAGGTAAAGAGGAACCATAGCCATGTACAAAACCACCATTTAACTTTATACATCTAATAAATAAAACATGCTTCAGCCACACACTCATCCTTCAATCTAAAATGTTAAGTTTTCCTGAATTAGATCAAGAACAAAATTGCAACCATTTGCCATGATTGTAATGATCAAGAATGAACAAAAAAAGCAGGAAGTTGTGGGGTGTCTTTAAAACGGTTTTCAGCTTCCAGCTAGCAACTTTAGTTTAGTTTTTCTTCTGTTAAAGACACCTTTTAACCTTGTAGTTTTTTCCTGTGGAGGGTAACTGCCTACTAGTGAAATAATATTCTAACAGCATGACTACAAAGCAAGAAGCAGAAGTAGTAAAGTCAGTTTGTAAAATTGATTAGTTTAATTACTTTTCTTTCAAATAGAAAATGAAAATTTAATTAAACCATTTCAATTCTGAATTGAATGATTCATGCAGCCATTTAATTATCTTTAATAAATATTTTCATTTTCTAACAAAGCTTAGTTTTTCCAGCCAGTATATTCTAGGTAGCATTCCTTCCTTGCTCTCTCTGTACCAATGGCTGTACTTGTTTCTAGAAATTAGATGTGTTAAACATACACTCCAAATTTATTCCATTCACCAAAAAACTAAGTGCTGTTTGGAAGGTTTACCCATTTATTATCACCATTTCCCCAGTCTGGACCATCTGGGAATTTGATCAGGAAGACTTTACTAATATTCAGATCTTGATGAATGCAATTTAGTATGTTGAGTCTTGTATTGATCCTTACAGAAAGCCTTTACTAGCACCTCTGGAAAATCTGTCCACATCCCAGTTAACCTGTGATACTGGACAGGTAATACTTTGTGTGGTAAAACCAGGCAGTCCTTAAATCGCTCTTCCTTCTTTGCAAATGGAACCACACTCTTGATAAAATTTTGTTTTTCAAGTCAAGAACCAGACATTGGCAAACTGAGATATTCAGTAAATATGTGAACAAGAGATCATCCAGAATAAATAAAAGAGAGCATTACTTACTTGATTATTTTTTTTTAAAGACATGCACAATAAATGTTAGCTCAATATGACTTACAACAAGTCAGTTGACTAGTATACTCCAGTTTCCCAGAAATTCAAACAAGATTTTGAAAAGCTGTGCAAGTAATTATCTTATTGAAGTTCCAGGAGAATTTATAACCTTACTGCTGACACTCCAGATCCCACACTCTGTTTAATGCAAGGTCTGATCTTACAGTTCAGATGCAAAAATTCCACAAATAAAAAATAATCTTCCTACTCTCACTTACTGAGTTAAACCTTAATTGTCCAAGTTGTGCTTTTCCAGCAGTGTCCCACACCAGGTCCATAAACACTGTATTCTTTAATTTCAAGTTAAGACTTCACTATACATTTTCTAGCAAAGATTGTTTAAGAGGAAGGGAAAAGATCTTACACAGCCACTAAACCAGAAGGTCCTGAATGCTATCAGCTATTTTTTAAAATGTAAGAAAATGAGAACAAGAAGATAAAATCTGTCCTTGACACTGCAAGAGCTGCACTGCACAGGGTTTAAAAATATGTAACTTCAACTTGTAAAAACTGCCACTTTAATGTACAAAGTCAGAATCTCAGTGTAATCAGACCCACAATTCAAAGCATACACTTGTGACTAGTACATGAGTAAAAACAAATATAAAGGATCACTCCCTTAAAAAAGCATATATGACTGTGTAAGTTATTTGTATTATTTTTATTTCAATAATATTGGATCTTGCTCACTTTTTAATGCCAGAGGAACATCTGCTCATTGTTACTCTAAGCAATTTCCATGTGAAACATTAAGTTTTAGCATAACAGTCACATGCTTTTACATGTAATAGACCAAAATTTTTATTCATTATAAAACACAGCCATTCTGTGCTACAAAAATAAAAATAAAAAAATCTGCCTTTGCCCATTTTATAATCAAATCTCTTTAAACACAAAACCCAGGGTATTTTATTTCAAAGTAAAGGAAGGAGAAAATCTGGAAATGCTATTTCGTTTGCTCAGATGGCTCAGTCTAAGAGAAACCAACAGCTTGAACTGCAGCTTTATTCATTTCAGCACTGCCCATTTCAGTAATCTCAAGAAATGGTTCATACAGCTCATGAAGGGCCAGCAAACAGCTATTGATGTGTTAGACATTTACAGCTAGGAACTGAGAGCTATGAACTTAAAATACAACTGTTACTACAGCCAGGTAAGAACAGCAACTTCCAACCTACATTCTCTAGAGGCTTCTGCATTCCACAGGAGACACCTGCTCCATGGGCAGCCACACAGGTCTCCTGAGAATGAAACATTTTTGCTTTATTGTTATGTTTCTGGATATTTTGTAGACCTCAAACAGAGGGCTAACAGTTAAGAGCTTTGAATCCTGCAGAATTGTTGCCATTTTCCCTCTGAAACGGTGTGTGAAGAATTCACCTGCTTGCAGATAAGCAGGGGAAGATTTCCCTCAGGGCAAGCCTTTACTTTCTGGCAATTTGATGCTTTTAGGTGAACGAGGATAACTGATGTGCATTACAGATGCAGAAGGAAACGATACATTACTCTTCTCCATCGTCTCCAAAAAACCTCCGACTCCCTGCTGTTGCTTGTAGCTAACTGCAAAACTCCCTGCTGCAGAGACCATCCAGCAGCAACTGGCTCCTTCTCAGTCTGCTAGTGCAGAACTGATGTTGGGACTGCAGTGCAGGCAAGCACCTCAGTGATCCACCCAGGACAGAATTGCAGAAGAAGTGCCCACAGCATACAAATATTCTACCTGTGTATCAGCTTGGAAGACTGAGAATGTAAATGTCCTGTCTGTCACAATGAAGTAAGTGAGAAGTCTATTAACTTGAATAGGTGCTGCTTCACAATGAAGTCAAGCAAAGAAAACAAGTTACAAGGAAAAGCAACACAGCAAGCCAAAGTAAGCAGAGATTTGCAGGAAAATATTTTAAATGCAGATTTACAGTCTAACATTGCAAACGTTACTTGGGTATGGAACAAAATGTTTGCTTTTAGCCATGTTTTGGTTGTTTCACAGCCCAGTTCACAATGACAGCTAAAAAGGTTACAGTCAATATGGGTCTTTCACATATGTTTACATCAGTGCTGTCAAACTCAATCCAGTCAGGCCTCAAATAAACTCAACTGGAAGAGAACAGATTCCCTTCTGTGGGAAGGCTGGTCCCCAGCTTCCCTGGATGCCATACACAAAGCTGTTCACACAATCAGTAGGCACACAACATACCTCAGAGTTTTGTGGTCAAAGCAAGCTCTGATTCACTGGCAGGAGGTGACAAGTTTTCCTGATGGGAGAATTTATTAATTCAGTGATTCAGGCTGCCCATTTCAGTAATCTCAAGAAATGGGAGTTCCTGGGTGACCTGGTGACACCAATTTCATCTTCTCCCGCAGCCTCTGCTTCCTTCAGTGTAACATTTTCAAGTATGGCTACTCTAATGTGGTAGGTCACGTAGCTATGTGAAACAGTCCTGCATGGCTGCCACACCTGAACAATGTGTAATTTGCACAGGGTTTCACAACAAGGTGGACAATCCCAATTGAGAGTTTTATTTCTTGCTTATGAAACCTCCATGTAGCAAAGCAGATTAAATAGATCAGTTAATCACATTCTAGCTACATAAGCTCAGTAAACAGGGTCATGACAAAAATAACACAGAAGTAGTCACACTATCAGAAGACATGCTTGCAGGTCAACTGGTGACCACATCAAGCTGCTAGCAAAGAGACTGCCTTACTATTATAACTAGATGCGGGTGATAATGGGAGCAGTTTAGGAGGTGACCTGCAAGCAGTTTTGGTATTTCTGCTTCAGTGGCAGTAAGACAACACAGATGGTTGTTCTTTGTAAAACTCTGGTCCGTTTCATCTGATGTCCTATCACATGTCTATCACTACACTTATTCTTAGTTCCTCAGACTTCTTAGCCCTTTCCCCTCTCCATTCAAAGAAACCAGGTGTGAAGTAAAGAATGATGTTCACTTCCTTACTGTTACTTCAACAAAACTGAGGTACACTGGGGCACTTTGTGGAGAAAGTGGAGCATTCTGATCAGGAAAAATGTCTGCTTCAAGCACAGGCAATAGCAACTGAAAAGAAGGATAAAAGTAGTAGGATAATAGCAAGAGAACATTCCTTCTCTCTCCCAGTGGAAGACAGGAGAAACAAAACATTCAAGACATCGACACTTCACTTAAAAACAACCATGCAAACTTCATATATCCAGCTCTGGACTCACAACATGCACTTCGCTTTGCTATCTTTTCCTGACTACTTTTGTAACTGAGACTGCATGATCCTTGGGACAAGTGTCATTGTCAGCTGGGTACAACAATATGAGTGCTTATTAATACAAATAGTATCCTAGGACGTATCTTATTTGTCTGTTACAAAGTCTGAATACAATTTTGGGGTGAAAGGGTGGAGTTTGCATCAACAAACCGCCAAAAGCAACTAACAGATACAGCTTCTGATGTCGATGTATATGACCACGCAAGCTGGCTTCTGCAGTATTGGTGAAGGCTTCTTATGGGAAGTTGTTTAAATTTTCTTAGTCTGAAAACCTGTCTGGTGACACAACCAGTCCTTTGAGCTTCTACAGAAAGTACCTCAGATCACAGAAACTATTTACACTGCTGGGCAAGATACAGGCTCAAGACCAGATACAAATGGAGAACTTGTACTTGGGGCTGACAAATGTACCAGGTTTTCATATATCTTACTGTAAGAATTTCAAATGTTTAATTTTCTTCAGAGAAGATAGCAAAGCACTTTTATTTGCATTTAACAGATACATGTTTATTTTGCTACAGCATAAGGAACATGTATAGGATAGAAGAAGGTACTTCCATGTTTTAGTTTTTAGTTGTTTTTTCTCTAGATCTGCAAAAAAGTTTTAAGCATAAGTTTCTAAAAATATCTTTGGATCTCATACTTTTTAGGTAACAATCATATTATTGCTTCACCTCATAATCTCTTTAATTAAAGATACTATCTGCTCAATCCATTGCACAAGTCAAGCCTGCTGCTCAGGATCAGCATCAAACCATAAAATTGCAATGCAATCCATTTTATTGAAGCTGCAAGTTCACTCTGCAGATATGTATTTTACTGGGATTCAGAAAACCACTGCTAAGAGCCTGAGCTCTGGGAATAATGAGAAGATTCCTATATGTAACTTAAAAAAAATAAATTAGATTGAACCAGAAAGCAGTGAATTTTTAAAAATACAGTTAATGCTACTTTATTTCCTTTTTGTAAGAAGAACATATGGATCATGCAGAATCATGCATATGAAGAACACATATGGATCATGCAGAAATGAATCATACCTTCTAGTATTAAGTATGAAGTCTGTACATTTTTGCTTTCATACTAGTTTTTGGTCTAAATTGACAAACTGTTAGGGACCTGAGTGGTTATGCTTCATCCAAAGGCACTGGCTACATGTAGGGAAATGTGTTTCTGATGCTGAATGTAAAGGCTTTACAGTTTTTTGGCTGACTTAAAGATACTTGACCCCTGAATTAAGGTAAAGTTCCTTCTGTAAGAATCAGAATCAATAAAATCTTAAAGGAAATGGAGTTACCTTCTGAGCTAATCAAAACATATATTCATATTTGCAATAAAATTGCTAATACCTATGTCACTAAAAATACAGTTCTAGAGTATTTTATTCTGTGTGTATTTGACTACTTTTATTTTTGCATAAAAGTGACTTACAAATGTTTAGTCTGTAAGAAATTAGTTGCCCAATTTTCTAGAGTTTTATAACACATTAAGTAATTTTCACTGCGGGCAGGCAGTCTGAAGAAAAATCTTGATAGTTTCACTGCTATCAGCGTATTAAAGAAAAACAAACAGCAAAAATGACTACCACACTTATTTTAGAGCAAAAGCTTAAAGAATTTCATACAGAGAAAAGTTAACTAAAAAGTACACACATACAACATCTAGTTACAGCAGCAGGCTAAATGATGCCAAGATTCCCTGTTATTCTGCATATTCTTAACAGGGTTACTGTAATTCTGAAAAACACCACAAAATCCCCACCATCCTGTAAAAGGAATGAGACACTTATCAATAGACATGCAATATCATCTGTTTAAAAGGACCAGTTTGTTGTTTGTTTTTTTTTTTAATGCCCACCTGCCTGCAACTTCCAGAGATGCTGCAGAGAGAACTGAGATGTGACAGACTTAATCCTACAGCATTGTGCACCTTTCTTTACAGTCCTCCCCAAAGTCTCAGATGGTGATTTAGAGCAGAACATTACAAATTACTTTATTCACACCAGCTTAGGGAGTGATGTGTATCATTTCACAATTTCTCATTCAGAGAGCGACTCGTGGTGATTTTTATTTAGAGAAGGAACATGAGGTAGAGCAAAGAAGCTCTGGGAAACACACATAATAACTGGAATAGACTAACTTCAAAAGGCTAACTGCAGAGAAAGTAAGTTTCCACAACACCAAATATGTTAAGACCATTTCAGTTACACTTAAGACAGTCCCAGACTACTTTACAAACCACTCTAGTGGTTACCCATAGCACATCAACCAAAAGCAGATCTTGGCTTCCGGGGGAGCTCAACCATGCAGAAAGGGATCCATAGAATCTGTGATACGGAGCCTGCCACTTTTGAATTGCCAGAATCTAGCCCATGGAAAGCAGATGCAAATACTAAATCCTATCCCATCCTAAAACACTGCTCACTACTGTTAGTACATCTACGGAGTGGGAATTCTCTCTTCTCAAAACAAATTGCAAAATCGACTTTTTCAAAGAACTCTTAGGGATACATGCATGTAGAGAGAAATGAACCGATGCATCCTATAACTTGAGTTTGTACTGTAATTCACTACATCAAGGAGAGGTACTATAATTTAATTTAATTTCCTTTGGGCTTTGTTTTTTTTTTAATAGGAAAAAAAAAAAAAAGTACTAAAACTTTTTCTGAGGTCCCCAGTCCTGCCAGTATATGGGTTGGGAACTTTCCTTTAAGCACAATTACTTCATTCCTGCCCAGAGTCACTAGCTCTCTGAGAAACGTTAAAACAAAAAGGCATCTGTATAACTCAGCTGTTTCAGTCTTGGTGACAGAAAAACATGGGACTTATCATGAACATGATTTTCAGATCTTGGTATCTAAATTCTGATTAGATCCTACTTTCAGTGCCTAAATGATTTACTGGATCTTTCTGCAAATGACTTGCTTTTGATTACAGTGCAGTTCTAGGCATGGACCATGGAGTGGCGCACAATTAGAATCAGTCACCCCTTGGGAAAGTAAAAAGGCAGAGCAACTAAATAAATTTTATCATAAATCACCAGGAATTACTTTTTTTTTAAAAAACAACACATATTTCAAATACATAGAGCACAAGTGAAAGGAGATTATTTATAAGCTGAGATTTCAACAGGAGGGTTTTTCTGAACATCTGGCACCTTAGCATTATGCAAAACCTGAACATGCCTTCCAGGACAAAAATGGAAGGATGTATTCCACCTCTTCCATTACGAGAGAAATAGTCTCCCTTATGAGCCTTT